TCCTCCTTTGTCTCCTTCTCTTTTCTTCCTCCATCAAAATTATCAAAATTATCCTTATTTCTGCGACTCTCTTTTCTCCAGCTCTTTCGTCATACTCAAGTAGCACACTCACTAAAGGTTAAGAACAACTAGCATCATCTATAAAGAATGACTTTTTTTATTGCTGCTCGCTATAAAATCTCTAGACGCATTTGGGCCTTTCTTCGAATTTGTACAAAACGTAACAGACATAATTCTATAGAAGCTTATATAATACTTAACAGCAATAAACGCTTATTGGGACATGCAGTTTTTAGTGTTCAGCTGTTGTTGCATATTTTTGCCGAATATAAATCGTCGAACTATATACTTGTTGGACGTCCGATGCGCTTTATCGTTTATGGGTAATTAAGTTATACAATAATGTTCTTAACTTGATATAAGTTGCTTATTTTACCGCTGTGATCTTTGATGACAGAGTCATTTACTCAGGGTTAGCCTCATTTTAACTTCAAAATATGCAGATATAACAACAGGCAAGTAACAAGTAAATAGTGAATAACTTTGTCAGTACAAGCATGCACATTAAAATTCTCAGAACCTTGTTGAAACTACTGGATACATTCTAGCCCTCAGCAACAGGGTATTCGGAGGCGGAGTATTAAAAATCTCTAACGTTTTCACTCACGTGAGAAGGCAGCCATATTGGTGTACCAAACAATAGAAAATGTCTGCATTGTTTTGATAAAAATAGCGTTCAATTCCCACTGCAGAGGATACAAAACGTATTGTTTTGGTAAACCAACACGGCCGCTGTGGCGTCACGTGAAATTAAATTTTCTCTTTTATATTTGAATCTATTTTATCTTTTTAGTCAAAACCAATATCATAAACACTTGGAATATGATCCCGTCCTGATGGGGGTGCTGTCAACCAATTATTTGCGATCCATTTCTCGCCCTTGATGACGTCACATCCTCCATGAAGCGAGTACTCGTCTACTTCTCCCAGTAAACCAGTGTCTTCATCGATAAAGTGATTGTACCACATGATAGCGTGACCTTTCTTGGGTGCAACCACTAGATTAGCCTTGTGACAGTTCAGACTCAAGTTGAAATCATCTCTTGGTCGTGTTGAGCTTGGCGTTGTTAAGACCTGGACGGAAATAATAAACCTATATTAAGGTGCTGACACGCGGTGCAACATTGCATGCAACATTGCACGCAACAGGACTGTTGCAGCGTGTGTCTACCCCAAACTTCTTGCATGCAAAGTTGCATGCAACAAATCTGAAGTTGAATCGCGCTCTACTCTTGCAACATTGCGCGCGACAAATTTCATCATGTAAATATGGCTGTAACATTACCTGCAGCATTTTGAAATTTCCAGCCAATCAGCTTGCACCAAATTTATAACTGCTGACCAAATATCTTAACATAGCAGGCTGACACAAGCGATGTTGCGCGATGTTGCTTTTGCGTCATCGTACTGCAGTAGTTCAAGCGTATTGTTCTTGCGCATACACTTTCATTTGCTCAATTCTGATTGGATAAACTGTAATATCGCGCATCGTGATTGGTTCAAAAGATGCTAACAAACTATACCGTGACCGATACAATAGCTGCGCTTCACCCTCCAACCCCCCTCCCCCCTACAAAATGCTACACCAACGCTACTTTTATCCACGACTTACATCACGAGTAAAGGTGGCATTATCTGCTACAATGAAGGCTGTTTCTCCACCTTCCTCAACATCGTTAAGGTAATACAGTATGGTGATGAAACGACACAGCCGACATTCAGCATTACGCTGTTCCTTTGTTCTTTGATGACAGCATGGTAGCTCTGCTTTTTTGCCATCATGTACGGGCATGGAGTCATAATGGACGTGGTAATGTCCCGAGGGACCGTAACGAACCACCTGGAGAATATTTAAGACAAGAATGAGCAAACTGACAGTTTCTTTTTTGTCGTATTCGGTGCACCATACAGTAATACATTCAATCTAGGGGCCCACCCGATATAGCCTCTACACTTAGGAGAGAACCCAAGTACAACGGTCCAGATTTTTGCACATACAAGTGATAGGCTTCTGGCTACGTACAAGCTGGGACAATAGAGACCTTTAGCATCAGGTTTAACGCTAACCGCTAGGGCTTAGATCCAGAAACAGGCGTGCAAACACGTAGAAACACTCTGCGTCAACGAAATTCAATATGGTGGGTCTTCAAGCAACAACGTGCTTAATTTTGAAAGTTTGACGTAAAACGCCTAACGACGGGAAACTGCAGTTTGGGGTTTGGGATGCCTAAAAAAACGTCGTGCTAAAGGTCTCTAGAGAAAAGATCAATGCCAGTGGTTAGGATATATTCTTAGCGTAGGACTAGGGGACTAGGAGGGCCTTCGATATTATAAAGAAAAGGAATGCTTTCATTGATTTGATGAGACTAGTATATCAAGCTTTCTGGTACAACACGGTAAACCGCCTTTTGTAGCACGTATTTATTTTTTACCTGAAGAGCTTCGCCTCCTTGAATGAGCTTTCTTGGTAACTTTGTTAGTTTTATAACTCTGTAGTAAAACAAAATCAATTCAAGGTCTTCAATATACAGTAACTGTCGTTATCCAACTAAAATAGAGACTAATAGCAAAACAAATGTCACGTTATGGTTCGTTTATTCTATTTTTAACTTAAAAGTTTTACTCAGAATTTTGATATCTTGTCTCGTTTTAAAGTTATTTC